TTGCTTCATGCTGCAGTAACAAATATTTATGATAAGATGGGTACAACTGGACCAATCCTTTGAATTCAAGACGTTCATGATGCCACTTGCTACAGTTGCTGGCAGATCATTTTTCACATCATCGGATATAACAAGGATACCTTTCAATTATGCATGAATAGTTTCTCATATAATGCCATTTTTTTTGCATTCAGGTAATCTCAAAAACTGAAAGCTACCTTGTAAAAGGAGCTTGTGGACTCGGATTGGGTTATTGTTGCCAAGCTCTTTTAGCCAGAGCAGATAATGCAGCTGATTCAGAATTAGAAGCGACTACACAACTTACTGAGCGTGCATCAGTTGAAGAAATTCTTCACACTTTGACGACTTCATTAGTTCAGCTATGTCCATTTTCATGCTATTCCCTCAAGAAGCTAAGTATTTGTGGAATAAAATCCTTGGAAGGAATGGAAGAAAAATATGTTAGCTTAGAAGATGATCCTTGGGCTGTTGCAGGACTTGTTCTTGGCCTGGGAAACTCTGTTGTTTCACTATATAGGCTTGGAGCTTATGAAGCTATTATTGAAGTCAAGAATATATTGATATCATGGATACCAGATGTGGATTCTAGCTCTTTGTTATTTGATGAAGAAGATTCGGCATCGCTATGTATGGGCTCTTGCCTTGCCCTTCCATCTGTTTTAGCTTTTTGCCAGAAGGTGGAATTGCTGAATGATGACTTGGATGCTTTGTTCAATCGCTACACTTCTTTAGCTACTAATCTCCTGAGCCTTAAGAAATCTGGGACTATCTTTCAGAATTTGCTGATGGCGATCTGTATTGGTGCTGGATCTTTCCTGTCTTCTATATTGAATGATGGGGTGCATGCTATGAAATTTACTGATGTCAAAGATCTTCTTGACACTCTTAAACACATATATACCCATCCATATCCTCCTCTTGTCCATTTAGGAGGCATGCTTGGTACTGTCAACGCTTTTGGTGCTGGTGCTGGAGACCTCACTGGGATCTGTCGGCAGCCGACAAATTCACAAATTAAGCACGAAAAGGTCCTTACCCTTGTTTATGCACCCTAACAATTTTTCACAAACATAACTAGCAAATACTTTTCTTTAACCATTAGAATAAATAAATAATCTATTCTGTGACAGGAGTCATCTTTGGTGAGAGGTCCTGTACTCACAAGTTCTGTTGGTGAGACTCTTTCAACGTCAATGATTCAGGAGATATTTCTTCTTGCCAAGGATGCTGAGGATGACCACATAAAAGATTATGCTGCATGGGCTATTTCATTTCTTAGAAGCAGGTGGCTATCAAAGAATCAGATTATTTTTGATGATGATTGTTCTCAAAGAAATTCTAGTGATTCCAATCAATCGACAAGTTTTTCTGATGAAAGCTTAGTGTGGAACTTAAGTCAGTGGTTGAGGGATCTTAACTTCGAAAAGGTTTGATCTGAATTTCAGGTTTTCTTGTTTGTTTAAACATTTATGCTATACATTTTTTTAGGAATTTTTTTTTTCATGTTTTCATATGTACACATAATCCAAGGCATGCGATTTTACGTGCTAAAATATACGTTGAAGAAAACAAGATGGTGGCCTTCAAATGTTTGCCATCACTTGCTAAAATAGATAAACATCCTGCTTCACCAGCACTTTAACAATCTACTTCTCCTTTATCCTCTCCAGCACTTTAGTTGGCTGTGGTTTGCATATATGTACTGCTGCAGTGGGTGAAAAGTGTGATATGTTTTACTGTTGTGTGCTTTTTTATTTGATGCAGTGTCCCTATTAATGTACTGATCTCAAGCTTTACAAAACATCAGATTTTTCACCAATCTTGAGGCACATTGTGATTCCTCATAATGCATACGCATATCTTATTGTGAAGATGAAAAAAAAACTAATAGTGCGTTCAGAATGCTGTTTGATATTTTAAGCTAGAAACTCCACAGACCATTGAGTCATGGTGAATGTATATATATGTTCCTAAGGAAGCAAAATTTCAGATTATGAGAGTCATCCTACTACTTAGAAGGTTCTTCAGTTAGAAAAAAACTTCTTGTTATCATATTCTTTTCTATTGATTCTTTCTTTACCGTCTACAGCCTGATAGTATGGTGTCAACAAGTACAGTCGCAACTGTTTTGAGATGCCTTTCCAAAGCTCCTAGATTGCCATCTATAGACTGGGGGGTTATTGTGCGGCGGTGCATGAATGTTGAGGCACACATTCCTGATATGTTGACGAATCATCATGATCCTAAATTATTGAGGGAAGAATGCCTATATATTTCTCTAGCTCATGCAAGTCATATCAGTCCTCTTCTGCACTTTATTGATGATCTGACAGACTTATCCAGATTCAGGAGATTAGAAATAAATTTGCAGTCCATTTTGCTCCAATATTTATCAACCCTAATGAAACTCTTCTCTCTCTCAAGATTAGACAAATTGTCTGAGGATTTAACTGAGTACTTGTATTCCCCCACATCTTCGTACTTGGATTACTCATCTGAGCAGAGAAGCATGTTAAGAACATCATTCTGGAAGGGCATTCGCGAGTGTCTAGTGGAGGATGTATCTGAAGAGTCTAGTGGTTTCTCATGTATTAAGAAGTGCATTCAAAGCTTGTCACCTCTCCTGAGTCTCCATAAAGATGGTCAGCCTGAATTCATAGAGGAGTGGTCTGCTGCTATCAAATGCCTTACAGTTGCACAGAAAGGTTTGCTGGGTGATATGCTGCAGGTGCAGAAGTCTGTCTGTCTAAATAATTCTTCATGGGTTATTTGTTTTATCGTGTCGTGTATATCTCATGCAATTTATATCTCACATGCTGTGGCCACCTTTCTTTCAGGTCGAAATTTCGTCATCCTTCAATGAGCTAGAGCATATTGATGTGGCCAAAAAGATAATCATCAGGGCAAGAATGTGTTCTAGCGGTTGTGGTTCTGTAGATGAGCTGGGGAACATAAAGACTACAATACTGAGTACAAGGCTTGATGGTACTTGCATCTTAGCTTTGATTTATTATACTAAACTCACAGCTTGTATGTTTAGGAGTAGTCCCCATCTTCTATAGAGTGCCTTTTCGGGATTTGGACATAGGGACATAGTAGGGTGCCAAGAAGACAACAAGGCAGAAGAATTGTTCTTTGTTTGGTTAGCTAATTAATGGAAACCACATATATATTAACTAAACATATAATTTTATTGCAAGGAAATCATATAAGTTATCGTCTTCATCAGAATTGTCTTTGTCGCAATTTCATTTGCAAAACTTTATTGTTTGTACTTTGAACACCACTTAAGTTAGAATAGAACTTAATAATTTTACTGTAACATGGGAAGACGATTTGGCCTCATGCTTATAAGGTAGGTTAGTTTAAGCTGTTGTGATTCCATGTATGGTATTTTAAAAAATATAATTAGCTTGAAAAATTCCTAGTTTCTTTTAGAAAAAATACATATGTTTATTTTGCATATTATCCTTTTTTAGTAGGCAAAAACCTATTCTCTTTAATATGTGGTTCAATAGTTAAATTAAAATAAAATCCAAATTTGGCTAGGAAATGGATATTTTGCCAAGGCTAATGCCTTAGTGCCAAAATCATAGTAATAGGTACTACGTATATTATTGTCATGATTTTGAAATGTTGCCATTCATGGTATTAAGTCATCGTATCAAGCCATCAACTTAATATGCATATTGCCTCAAAACTAGATGTTGAAATACAACTTATTATTGATAAACATCATTGTAAAAATATGTATACCACGATATTCTTGTAAGAGAAAATAACATCTTGAAAAAATAGCATCATTTGCAAATTTCAAGAGCCTGATATAAGCGAACACTTGCCATAATAATTACACCCTCCGTCCTAAAAGGAGTTCAGTTTTGTATGTGAATCTGGACATATGTATAAAAGTGAACTTATTTTGAGACAGAGGGGTATGTTTCACCATAGCCTTAGCATCCCCTCCCCTCTCGTGTTCTTTCACCTGTCATTTCTGATAAATAACGAGGTCTGTTTCAGGTGTCTGGTGGAATGTCCTTGTTGAAGTTGCTGGTGCTCTATATTATGCTGATAGTCGTATGAAAAAGCAGTGGCTTCTGGATGCATTAGATATTGGCTGTGTTACAGCCCATCCCTCCACGGTAAAAAAATGCAGTGGATGCTTATCTGCAAACACTAACTTGTTTTCAATGAAAACATTTGCACACAATGAGACATGAACATTCTTACTTTACTGGATGCTTTTCCTCAAACATTACCTTGTTCTGATTTTTCAGGTACTCCATTTCGTTGGCCTGCTATGTGGTAGCTGCTGCATCTATATGCCACTTCTCATTGTTAACCCAACAAATGTACTGAGTGACTTGCCTGTCACCCTTCCTTCGTTTCTCTCTAGCAGCATTTGGGATGACCTCCGGAACTCTGTTGCTGATAAGTTATGGTTGTTGACCGCTCGCATCTACACTTGGGCAGAACAGCTGACTCATAGTGTCGGCCTCGCACGCCATGACCATATTCATGGAAGTGAAGCTGAAATGGCTATTTTTCTTGCCAATATTCTGCGCTGTACTTGCATTGCAGTGGAAGATCACTTGGCTGTTGAAAAGAAGCTAAAACTTGCAAACCTGGAGGCTCTATGATCCAAGGGAGAAGTGTTTTCATTTTTATCTTATCTATTCTGTATCATATATATGTTTAAACTCGTTCTTCTTGTTCCCCACCGATGATGTAGCACCGCTTTATTTCTGTACATAATTCAGCTCAACTATCTCAACCTGGACCAGAAATTAAATTTGATTTCCCTAGAATGAAGGGGACTTAATCTGATGGAAGTAACTTGAGATGAAAACTGTCTTCCTTGAATTTCAAAACACTTACATCTGGAACTAAATCATTGAAGAGCCTAACATTTGAGAGAAAGCGGAATGAAAGTGTTGTAAAAAAGGAGCCCTTTGCTGATGGAAGGCCTGGATGCAGGTTTACCTGCATTGTGTATAGATCAATATCCCACAGTATGCTATTTACTTTGTTCTCAAGAGATTACATTTTATTATATGTTCTTGGAATATGCATGCTTCTATGTGCTTACATTTAATATAGTACTGCAGGCCTACCATGGAGCTCTTGCATTTTCTACTCGGAATCTGCAGACTCGTCTGCACTTCGTTTGAAATTAATTTCCGTTGTTTCCCAATGCAGCTTTGATCACCAATGCTTCGTAGTCCAGCTGATTGTTTTGGCGAGATGATTAGAGATCAAGACCCACCTAAGGTTGTTATGGGTTATATTTGAGGCTTGGTATTTGCCAAGATCTCCCTTGTTGGTGGTTAGTGCCTACATCTTTCAGGTACTGACCTTACCCAACTCCTCTCAAAAAATGAAAATACAATTAAGCTAGGTGTGGATTGACTGGTATCACTATCACCTGGTCTACAGAAAAACCAAATCAATATATAAATGCTCGATTTAAAAGCAATCACTAATAATGATTCTCATTCTTGCAGAAAGAATCCCAGGCATAGCATTTGATGCTTAATTCCCGTCCCGCACACCATTTCCTTTAAAGTTTCATTTCGTTGACTTTTTACTTGATGGAATCCTTGTTTTTAATTTAAAGACTTTTGGTGCTTCTAAATATAGAAAAGAGATTGAACGCAGAAAGGTTAGTGCCCATTTGTTTCATACGTCCATTATATTTAGGCATTTTAGCCTTTCCTCACGATGCCTCATTCACAAACGGCACACCGAGGGTTATGCATGCATTAGCTCCCATGATTGAGTACCCCACCAAATGCTGTTATGAATTAGCTTCCATGATAGAACTGAAAAGGTTATTAGAAATATTGGAACTCTTCCTCAAAAGTGAATTTGGAATAAACAATGTCAAATCCAAGATGTGTAGAGCTAGCGAGGTGGATGTCACTTTTGCACGTAGCTAGGTAGCTTCCATGTAGCCCACAACTATTGTACGGACGAATGAAATAAAAAAAAATCAAACGGAATCAATATCTTGCATTGCCTTGTTCTATTGCTGTTCATATATCGCTTGCCCCTTCCACTCACTGAAGAGCCTTTGGCAGATTAGCGCAGTGTTAACTGTTAAACTTTATATGCTTTCATCTAGATTCTCCTATCTTAATGGATCTCTCCCTTTAGATATTGTGATCAGATATGCTGGCAAGTGTAGCCGCGCGGCTACCTACAAACATCTTTGCTGAGATGTTTCCATGAAAGAACCAATTAGATGTCTCAAGAAACATTTGCTTTGCTACCCTTTTTGAGTATGATATCTATGTTGATGTACTGGCTAACAGATTCTGCCAAGCAATCTAATTATCAAGGCCATGTCCTTTTACCATCTATTTGTGTTATCCCTTAAATATAACATGGCCAATCATAGCTCCTGGGCCCAAAGTGCAACCAATCACATGGTTCCAAGACCAATAGCTAGATCACTGAAAGGTGCAATAATTTATTATTGTGTGGCTATCGAGGGTTGGGGAATTAATTTATGTACTGTGTAATGGTGATCATGATCTAGCAGGATTTTTTAATCAGTGTAATGAATTGAGTTTGTAGGTAAATGTCTCGGATGTGACCTGGTTTCTTCTTCTAAAAGTGAAGAGGAACAGGGAATGGAGCTCGTTTGCCACGGTATGAATTGTTCATTGGAAAAAAGGGAAAAAATTCAAGTGCTTACCGGCAATATGGACAACTGACAAATAAGAAGATCAACAGTTTGACTACAGCCTTAAGACACATAAAGATGTGGTGGGCTCAATGTAAGCAGGGGGTTGTTTCTTCTTTTTTTTTTCCCGCGAGTAATCAAGCAGTCCTGATATATGGGCCACTTAAACTTCTGATAGGTCACCCAAAATATCTGTTGAAGCAGATTATTGATTAGCTCTGGCTCACACTGGCCAGAATCCAGATGCAGCCAACTTAGGCTGTTCTATCGTCAAGATGGCATCAGATGATCATGTCATGGGATGATCAGCTATTCCCAACCAAACCAAAGCATCTCCACAACTGTGTTTCGACAATCAACGTGCGGCCCTGCAGGCGCAGGTCAGTGATGCTATATTTGACAACTATTATCTGCATGATTCATCACCACACTGGCAAAATCACTCTCTGTATATATGATATCTTGTGATGGAGAGGAATTTTGAAGGAAAGGAAGCAGCATGGTGAACAATGCCCATAGAATAGAGCTAGAGAGAGGTAGCCCCATGGCCTGTCCAGACGACAGACAGGATTCTCTATCGACAAGTACGGTTCCATGCACGCCCGTGCACAACCCCCTCCACCCTTGCACCCCCACCCACCCCACTGCGTGCCTCTTGTGACCAGAATTCAAAGGGACTGTGCCCTCCCACAGTGCAGGGGTAACCTTGCATCTGTACTACCTGGACCCATCAGCCCAATATATTTCCCCCACAACCATAGGTAGATATATCTTCTTTCACATATGCATACTAGGACTGTTCACTCCCATTGTTCTTTGCCTCACCACCTCAACCTCTCAAAGGTATTGGACATGGCCCACGTACCTAAGCTACTCACACCCCGGCCCCCATGGACCACCATGAACTACTCTAGAGCTTTTCAAACTCAGGCTACCAAATGTTTCGGCTGTTGCTGAAATCATTTTTAAACTTCGAGCAGTTTGGATTATGTTTAGATCTCATCCTAAAATTTTTCACCTTGTCACATTTAACGTTTGAACATCTGCATGAAGTATTAAATATAGGCTAAGAAATAACTAATTGTACAGATTGCGACTAATTTGCGAGATAAATCTTTTAAGCCTAATTGCTATATGATTTGACAATGTGGTGTTACAGTAAATATTTGCTAATGACATTAATTAGGCTTAATAAATTCGTCTTGTGGTTTACTGACGGATTCTGTAATTAGTTTTTTTATTAGTGCCCGAACACCCCATGCGACACTCTATATAATATCTGATGTGACACGCTAAAACTTTTACACCCCTGGATCTAAACACTACCTGTATATACTGAATGAGAATGACTGAAATCTCCTGCTCTAATTTGGTTTTCTCAAAAAGAAAAGTTCATATGCATATAGTGGAGCCTCATAGAGAGCTAAACATGCATGCCTATGATCTTTGGGCGGCTACCAACTGTAGTACTAACTGCTAGTTCCACTGAAAGATTTGTGATTTATTTGGTGACGATTGCGAGTTTTAGCACTTGGATGCAAGTTGCAAGGGGGTGAAGCTCAAAAGGACAGTCATGCTAGGTCGTGAACTTGGGAAAAGGCTGCTCCCATAGTCCCATGCATGCATCCAGACACAAAATGTAGGGACTAGCTAGCCCTAGCTAGCTTAGCTCAGTATGGCTCTTCGGCCCCCTCCCTTAGGTCCAACGATTTGATGGGCTGTGGATTTCAGGATCGAATTAATGTTGGTGTACTAGGAAAGTGGCTTGCACACGAGATCGTGTTCTTTGGGGGGATCTTAGGAAGATCTTATTATGGTTTCTTACGGTGCATCTTATTCATCAAATCATATGATAACATGACATCCGGTATATATGTAGTGCATGCAAGGTGAGATGGTATCAAAAATCTTGTGTGATAACACGCCATAATCAATTCAGCCTTCTTTTTTCTTTTCATTCCTTGCATTTATGTGTCATGCGGCGCCATTTACATGTGGAGACGAAGGTAGCTGAAGCAGTGAAGCTACATGCCTACATGAATAGTAGAGCTATATATCCTAATGGTGGAGGCTGCTTCTCTTAGGGGTTGCTGTTACGGTAAGACAGCTTAGTGATGTGAATCTCTATATATAGAGAAATACTTGTCTGTTGTTGCCTTCTCGGAGACTGTGATCTTTCTTTCTTGAGAAACTTTTATATGCTTGCTGTTGACTACTCAAATTGACCTGACTTTTCTTTTGCGCGTACATATGTTGAATTGACCAAACTATATAGTTGTAGGGTGCTGTACTGCTGCAAACACTGTTGGTACACAGTATGCTTGATTACTGCTTTAGCTAGTAGTATGTGTGTGTATATATAGTTTCAATTATTAAACATGTCCAGAAGTTAACTATAGATATACTCCTACTGGAGTACGCCATATTATTCACAGTAGTTCTTTTTTGTTCTTCCTCACTTTTTTGGGAAGAGTATGGACGCATTACAATATGAGAACTGTCAATTGTTCTCTGTGATATTGTTGGCCAGACTGGGTTATGTGTACTTTTAGCAACTTTTTGGCTTTTAGAGCTTTGCGGCAAGTAGTACTAATTACATGTTGCGATGGTATGTAGATCATGATGATGCTAATTGTGCATAAGCTTCATCTACGCACCTATAAATGACAAAATCTAAGCCAAAGATATAGCATGCTTCACCAGTAGTCATCATGGAGAACCATATATGCTTTTGGATTTTCTTTTAAACCGACGTGATCGTCATCAATCGACCTGTAATAAAAGTAAAATTGAACTGTAGTCTCTTGTTGGGAGCTGTTGGGCTTGCATAGACTGTCTATGATAGACATACCGTAGTGATCAGCATATATAATTAAAGTCTAACTCCAGGTGTTTTGATTAAAAATCAATGTTAGCAACAGATATTTTTTAATGTACCGCTCTCGAATAATATGATTGTTCTGATTTCTTTCTACGATTACAATTCCTGCGATATAGGTTACTCCTGTTTCTACATGTTGTAAGGTGCATGTTTTAGTTTTTTCCTAAGTCATACATAATACGAAATAGAAATACATTATTAAGGTGTGTTTTATGTGCATTTAATGAATTAATTTGATATTATAGATTGAATGTGTATTTTTCTATTAACTTAGGTTAAAGTTAACTTAGAAATTAATATGAGAACACACTATATATTGACATCAAATAGTGCTGAACACGAGTGATTAATTTGTATGGTCGAAATGCTCTGTACACGTACGTTTACCCTTTTGAGTTAATTTTGTACAGTATTAAGCTCAGACTGCAATGTTTCCTCTACTGTTTAGAAGTGTGATTTCTATGTGGAAAACATGAGTGATATTACACACTGTACAGTGTTATTGATCATGCAGCTTGGGTCCAGAATTAATCATTAGCGAGAGAGAACATATCTACTCTCTATCTAGCTAGACCTGATTAAGAATATCACTTAATTCGCTAGGTAAGTGTGGAACATGACAATGCATGCATGCCGATAACTTGTATCTGATGGGTTCCTCTCTAATGATTGCCAATGATACCGCCGCACGCACTTTTAATTATGAAGTCGAAGCCATAAACAAGGATTACTTAATTAGTTATATTAACAGCAGCATAGCACCACTCGGCCTGTGCTCTTATTGATTGCCACACGTTGTCAGTGTCTACATCGTCTGTTCCTTTATGATTGTGCTGCTTGCTTAGCCTGGAGTAGTACTAGCATATATACTTGCTCATGCATATGAGCGGCCATGATTACTTTAGAACCAGGCGCACTGGAGGAAAAAATGCTTGTTTTTAAGCTTATGTATTCCGTATATCACTCTCTTATGATACTGTGTTGAAATAATTACTCATTCCTTCGTTTCACAATGTAAGACTTTTTAGTATTGTCTACTCATTTAGATGTTAATAAATTTAGACACATATATATGTTTAGATTCATTAATATCTATGTGTATGTGGGTAATACTAGAAAGTTTTACATTGTGAAACGGAGGGAGTACTGCATTACTATATAACCTTCGAATTCTCATTAACTTCCCGTTGTAGGAAGTACCTTTTTCTTTGGTTCTAATCGAGGCTAAAACAATGCAAACGTTGCATTATTTAATACTTGTATAATTTTAAAATCTTTGGCTATGAATAACTTCTAAAATATGTATATTAGAAATATGTAGATTGTTTTATTAATGTATAGATTAGTTTTAAAAAGTACATTAATAAGATCATATATTTCTTAATATTTTATATATATATATATATAGAAAATAATGGTTAAAATTTTTTAGATTGTGTCATTGTTCAAAACGACAAATATTAGGAACCTGGATGGTAGTAAAGTACGTACGTACATGATGATTAAATCCGTGAGTATATACTACGTACGTTGGTCAATATGCAGTTAGTTAGGTGTATGTTGGTTGCATAGAGCGATGTTTTTTTAATATAGTTTATACCTTGTATTTGTATACATGAACTCTATGAGCACGCGTACGCTCGCAGGCAGCTGGAACTATTTGCGAATGATGATGAGATGAGGAAGGCACTGTGGTAGATATTCTTACGAGTAGTGGCAATGTCACCCTCACACTTTTTCTTGTACTGCCATTAATCCCGATTTGTCCTTATTTATCTGTTTACTTTCTCCCTCGCTCTCTCTCTCTCTCCCCCCATGTCTTTTTTGCAACACCATAATATTCTTCAACTCTCACTCCATCATTCAATACTGGGCCTTGCTTTTTCATATTTTGTTGCCTCTACATCTCACCTTTCCCTTGTGCTGCAGTTGTGTATAGTAGGAGAAGCTGATTTCTATATCTCTCTTCCCCTCTCTCCTAAAGATCACTACCAGAAAGAAGTCATGCTCTCCTGCTTGATCGTATGCTAGCTCATCCTACAGACAATTCTTTGATTCGTATCCAAACAGACAAGATTATTGATCTTGTTTCATTTTCCGTTTCTACTGTTTCTCCTCTATTTTCCATTCTGCAGCTTGGATATCAGTGGATCTTGGAAGAAACAAGCAGCAACTAAGAAAATCTGCCACATATTGCTGTTGTCTTTCTTCGTCAGATCATCAGATCTATCCTCTTCGACCACAAATAGGTAAGGATGAGCAGGTTTTGACTAGCTGGCTAGATCCACCTGAGGGAAATTTGAGAAAAAAAAGAGCATGATTCAGTCTCTGTCTCTCTTCCCTTAGGTACTAATATATATATTAATATCTATTCGAGCTCTTTGAGATTTGAGCAAACATCAGGTTGTTTTCGCTTCGAAATTTGTGCTTTTCTTGTTGAGAGTCGCACACATGTGCTCATACAGTGGATCATTGTCCAAGCATTTGTTTCAATCGGACCATTAATTCTCATCGGTACCTATTTCAAATAATTCTACAGCATAAAATCTACAGTTTCAATGTCCCCTTGTTTTTCTATAGTTTTTCTGTAAGAAAAGCAAAGCTAATTTCCCCATTTCTTGCCTCCAAAGTTTTTAAAAGATCAGATCAAAACACCTTATGCTCTGAAACCCTATCCTCCGCCCATCTTTTCAGTACAATCCTTGCTGCCATGAAAACCCTAACCCTAGAAGAAGTTGCACAAATACTCATGCATTTGTTTGAGAAATAACTGACAATTTCAGTACCATTCTTCAATTTGCAGGTGTAGCTAGCTAGCTCGCCGGAAATGGCATCCTCGTCGAGCACCAGCAACTCCGCCATCTCCTCGGTGGTCGCGTCGGCGGTGGCCACGACGACGCCGGGCGCCGGATCGCCGTGCGCGGCGTGCAAGTTCCTGCGGCGGAAGTGCCTGCCGGGCTGCGTGTTCGCTCCTTACTTCCCGCCGGAGGAGCCGCAGAAGTTCGCCAACGTCCACAAGGTGTTCGGCGCCAGTAACGTCACCAAGCTCCTCAACGAGCTGCTGCCGCACCAGCGGGAGGACGCCGTGAGCTCGCTCGCGTACGAGGCCGAGGCCCGCGTCAAGGACCCCGTCTACGGCTGCGTCGGCGCCATCTCCGTCCTCCAGCGCCAGGTCCACCGCCTCCAGAAGGAGCTCGACACCGCGCACGCCGAGCTCCTCCGCTACGCCTGCGGCGAGGTCGGCATCCCCACCGCGCTCCCCGTCACCGCCGCCCCGAGGCTCGCCGCGGCAATGCCGGCACCAGGCCAGCTCGCCGCCGCCGTCAGTGCCGGGATGTACGGCGGCGGCCGGAGGCTCGGGGTCATCGACGGCGGCGGGATAGCGCCGCCTTCCCCCCACACGGCCGGGTGCTACTACGCCCGCAACAACAACGCCGGGAGCATCGGCGCTGACGTGGCGCCCGTCCTACCTTACGCTTCCGTGGCTAATTGGACAGTGAACGCCATTAGCACCACCACCACCAACTCAGGATCAGAGAGCATTGGGATGGATCACAAGGAAGGAGGAGACAGCAGCATGTGAATTGAAGCGCGGCAAATAGTAAGTAACATTTGAGTGAATTTGTTGCATTGCAATCATGCACGTATATGCATCTGTTCGCTGTATGTATGTGTTATCAGTGTGCTACTACTACTTCTTCTTCAGATGTGGAGATCTGCGCTTTGGCCTTGATGAGAGAGGATCGGAGAGGCTTCAGGAAGATGGCAGCCCATTCATCCCAGGTTAATTAAGAGTTAAGAAGCAACCTATCTATCTATCTATATATAGCCAGCATGAATTATATATATCATCTCCCCGTCCCTTTTTGCATGTTGTGCAAAACCATACTTTGGAGTTCTATATGTAATCGAATCGAGATCTTGATCTCTCGTCTTTTCATGATTAATTCGCGTTTTTCGCAGGATCCATCAGTCATTAGTACGTAGCATGCTTTGTGATCAGAAAATAACCACCTTTAGGCCGATTAAACAATGCACCGAACACATCTATCGATAGGTGAAAAGATCCTGCGGCTTGCATGCATGCATGAGTACCAAGCTAGCTAACTTGGTTGGGCTAATTAAAGGCTACATGATCTGCATCTTATATCATATGTCATAGGCACCAGTGGCCTATATGTTTGCATATATGCTCCAGATATACACCATCTTGAGATGCTTAATAGTCTTGGGGGAAAGATTAAAACAGTTGTTTATTGAGAGCATCACATCGTTTGGTTTGAAGACATTCTTCGCTTCTATATATGTTATAGTAAACTGTAAAGGTAGGAAAAAAGCAGTATTCCCGTCACTATTCTTATAGGCCCCATCTTTTTATGGATCTCACTGTGGTGCATTGTACATGTATCATGTATTTATTCTATCATCTAGAATTCTCCTCTTTGGAATTAATTGCCTTTTTCACTCCCTTGAAGACTTAGTTTGGTTAATTAGCTATTACTCTATATCCCCACCAAAAAAAATATATTACTACTATATTCTTATGTGTGCTTGCCTGCTTATATATATATTTGTCATCTTTTTGTGGTCAATTTACTGAATTGTTGTTCATAGGTATTGAATTTTACTCTTATTGCCTTTCTGTTTTCTTCCTAACCATCCCCAGTTGGAATTCCTGGCTGTACATGATGCTGTCGTTGATCTGTTTTGACCACTTGAATCTACTCTCGAATTTACCTCTATTATTGCAACACCGAAGCTAAGTTTCAAACTTCCTGTTCTCTTTCACAAAAAAATTGAAACATCTCATGGGACGACCTCTCTATCTTGTATTTGAACAAAGTGGAGCTCCATTTGGAAAAAGAAGGTATATATTTTTCCCTTGTTCCAATCTCTGAACAATTTCCCTTGAAATTGTTGCATTTGTTCCAAATTTTACTGAAAACTATGTCCTTTCTTGATATGTCATCAAAATTTTGTTGCCATTAATTTTTGTTTTGAAAGATATTCTTTTGCTGTGACATGATCTTTCATTAAACTGCATCGCACCACAATCTCAGCTAGAGACTTTTTTTAGTAAGATGGAAAATTTAGGGAGACAGGTGTGGATTCCATCGTACGTTAATTGGACCTCAAGTCTCCAGCATTTTTTTACTTACTTTTAAAAGATTAAATATCAGAAAATCTCATATTTTGTAGGCAAAGTTTAAGAAACCACGGGTATTATCCCCAAGTAAGATTTCTCAAAACTCTACCGCTGTGTGTTGAGCTTATATTTACTTAAAATTTTCATCATATTATAAAGTGTCAATCTGTAAATATTGATTTGTTAATATATATGGGTGTTGATTTAGTTTTGTTACAATTATGCTAAATTTACTTGAGATTTTAACAAATGGGATTCTATACAACCGTTGACCATAAACTTTGGGTTTTGTGCTACAAGTTATGACACCCGTGGTTTCTGTAACTATAACCATAAAACATAAAGTTTTCTGATTTTTTTTTTAAAAAAGAGAGAAATATGCTTGGTTGCGAAAATATGGAACTCGATGCTGAACGCAATAGCTAGGGTTTTGAAAACGGGGCTGTGCATTTCTTTTACATTATCCCAAGTTGAATTTTCATGGTTATTTGCTAGAATGTACGATATTGTTAAATGCTCATGGTATTTACTCAATTACAGCTTGAATATACGCACGTAATTGAAATGAAAAGATATATAGTCTTGTTTCTTTTGTTATGATATTGCATTTGCATTAGAGTTTGCTTACCCATCAGTCCATCATGCCCCATATGCACTCTTAAGACCGTGAACGACCCAATCAGCTGTGCGATCAAAATCGCTATATATATATAGCTGTTTTTCGAGATAATGGATAATCCGGTATTAATTTGAACAGAGCTACATCGACAGAATTACTATAGCTGTAATTACGTATTAAGATCTATACACTGATCATTACAGTTTTTTGCATGCTCGACTGGACTCTTTTCGGTCCACCAATTACTTAGTGCTTATTTCCTAACATCAAAATGATTTCCTGGCCATCACGCATACGTTATCTAAGTTGTGTGTGCGGCCCGGTCGGCCGGTTTTTGCCACCATATATGCATTTCCACAACTTTAACTGATTAGACAGATAATGTGTGGATAACTATATGATTAAGTTACCTGCATATCGTTTTTTTGGAGAAATAAATCGTTTGTAAAATAGGTTACTAATATCACACTGCATGCTGGTTGAATTCAATGAACAAAGTACCAGGACTCGAATTTTATTGTAATGTGAATAGAATCAGAGCACTTGGCGTTTATAAAGTTAAATTCAATGAACCATGCATGATTGTCAACTCAAATATTAATATCCTGGCATTGTTAATTAAGTCATCCTCTTAATTAATTAATAGCAGATCAAATTTGAGAATCTCTCTGATTGGCTGGGAATTAAGAGATGATTGTCTGCCGTCTAGCCTGTTGTCGTTTTCCGCTAATCGGGATAAGTTGGTAGTAAAACGGGAGAATCTATGCTAAAAAAAATTATTATCGTCCAATTAACTGTTTTATATTTGTACGAAAGTCAATATCTCATAAACATATATTTGAACCAGCCGGGTGAGAATGATATGAAAAGAATCGGATGGGGGATGTAATTCTTCATATAGCAATTTTATTTGATTTTAAATTGGTGATCTTGGTTTCATACTATAGACAGAATGTTGACAGTATGTTTTTTTACTTATGTTTAGTTATTGTCCATGTTTTTTTAGGGCAAAGTTATTGTTCAAGTTACAACACTAGATAGAATTAGCTAGTGAGTAGATGAAAGCTGTATGTATAATAAATAAATAAATGTTGTTGTGAGATTAACTATGCACTATATATATGCCAAGTGAAGAAAAGGTATTTTAAAATTCAAAGATGGAGAAAAACAATTATGACTCAGTGTCATTATATGTTAATCCTGTATTTTTTTTCTATTGTGTGTTTTTAAACCTTTAGAATCACTTCATAGCGCAGTGTGGTTTCAAACCGAGGTCCCGTGTTCAATCTTCAATGCACTTATAATTTCTTCTTTAAAAAAAATCTGGTCCCTCCAAATCTCGTTTTTTTATCTTGAAAAGTGTACACATTTATCTATTGTTCCACTAGTAATAAATAATGCCTTCTAATAAATTCATATATCCAGTGGGCAACAACCTTACGCATTGCACAGAGCAAAGATTGAGACACTACTGCACATATAGTAGATAAAATATGCCATGGCTCCTAGTATTCGAGTTGCCTGTATGTACAAAAAAAAACATTTACACTGTCACTGTGCTCTATATATGCATGCGTCGCATGCTGTCATTCATGCAGTACTTGGCTCATACACCTTTTTTGTCATTTTCATTCTATAATACAATAGGTACGCAGTCGGTCGGTATATTTATGCTACTAGTACTGCTACGTACTATGGCCCTGTTTAGGGCCTGTTTAGTTTCCAAACAAAATTTTTTACGCTGCCACATTGAATGTTTATGCATATGTATGGAGTATTAAATGTAGGCAGAAAAAACAATTACACGGTTTGTGAGGAAATTGCGAAACAAATCTTCTAAGTTTAATTGCGCCATGATTTGACAATGCGGTGCTACAGTAAACATTTACTAATGGCGGATTAATTAGACTTAATAAATTCGTCTCGCAGTTTCCTGGCGGAATCTGTAATTTGTTTTGTTATTAGACTACGTTTAATACTTCAAATGTTGTTTTGTTATTAGACTACGTTTAATACTTCAAATGTGTGTCCATATATCCGATGTGACACGACGAAACTTTTCACCTCTGAAACTTAAGGGCCTGTTTAGTTAAAAAAAATTGCCCCTGCACAACATGTAGTGTGTGTTTGGTTCCCGGCCACACTTTGCCACAACTAACGTTAGGCAAGTTGTGGCAACCACAAAAGTGTTATGACCAGTATTAAACGTAGTCTAATAACAAAACAACATTTGAAGTATTAAATATAGTCTAATAACAAAACAAATTAGAGATTCCGCTAGGAAACAATGAGATGAATCTATTAAGTCTAATCAATTCATCATTAGCAAATGTTGACTGTGGCACCATATTATCAAATCATGGCGCAATTAGGCTTATTCGTCTCGTAATTTACATGCAATCTATGTAATTAGTTTTTTTTCTATGTGCATGTATCGAAACATTCGATGTGATAGGGTGAAAAGTTTTTGAGTGGGAACTAAATAGGGCCTATGCGTATACGTATGCATATATAGCCGTCTGCAAATACTATATAGTATACTACAGTACGTACTACCTTGTTGACTGTTGCTCTGATTTGACATGACCAATGTTGCGATGCCACTAGTCCACTACTCTGATCTGGTCACACTGCACGATCGATTCATCGATCGACCAATCAGGGCGACGTGTGCACACGCGCTCATCTGTCCTCTTGATGAATGTGCTACTGTGTTTTCAGTTTTTTCTTCACTCAACCTGTTGTTGGATGTGTCTTGTAATTTTTTTTCATCATTTGTTATGTATCGCGGAGTTATTATTTTGTCTTCATATGTCTTAATTCGATTCTTATTTTGATCCTCAGCATTAATATAATTGGATGTAAATTGATTGCTAGTGTTTTTTTTTCTTAAAAGAACTACTCTTGGCTCAAAAACTATATAGTAAGTGAAAAGCCTCTCTGTACTTAAATTGAAATCTCAATATATAGGGAAAATTCAAATGGGTTACATGTAAATTTGCTCGAAAGGATGTGAAATTACACAAATCACTGGTTTAAAAATTCAATCAAATTTGAGTAACTTAAGTTCTTATATGATTTCAACAAAATTTAAATTCAATTGAAAACTCAATTTTGGTTTTTAGATTCACGTGGAAATATCATAATTTTTTATTTCGATTCTCCAAAATGTTTTCAAAGATTGTTTCAATTTGCTCCTTCGAAATTTCTTCTAATTTTGTTGGAATTCGTTTAATTTTATTTTTAACATCATGGTCAAGTTTCTAAAAATTCCAGTGGTTTGGTTAATTGCACCGCCTACTATTCTTAAAACAAAAGAATTCAAGTTTTTTTTTTAAAAAAAATTGTAACTAATTGTTATGCGAAGGGGCAATTGTCATTTTGAAGAAAAAAAATCATGGTTGAATATTGGAGTGGAGAAATTTTAAAAAGGGATGAGATGCAAAATTAGGGACATGAAAGTAATTGACCTCAGATGTACACAATGAATTTTCTCGTGATTCAGTGGCCTTTACGTATTGAATAACCACATCGTCAGGTTTTTCGTTGAATGCCTTACTTGCACTACATTGCAAACCAGGTTACCCATATAAGTTATTGCCTCCATTCGAAAATATAACAACTTTTAACTGTGAATCTAAAAAGACAAATGTTCAGATTCATAGCTATAAATATTTATATTTCGAGACTATGCATGCTGTGCTCCCTCCGTTTCAGGTTACAAGACTTTCTAGCATTGCCCACATTCATATAGATGTTAATGAATCTAGGCACATGTGTGTGTGTATATATATATATATATATATATGAATGTAGACAATGCTAGAAAGCCTTATAATATGAAACGGAAGAAGTATATCTTTATACATATATACATTTCTATGTGAAAAAAAAGGTAGATATCCATATATGTGCGTACACGCATGGATATGATTGTGTTCTTTATGCAATGCATGTATGGAATGGCCGGCCTCGCGTGTACGTGCAGTATGTGTCGGGCCTCTACCGGTCAGCTGAATAGTCCATGGCAACTGTTTCTTCACACTGTTCATGTGTAGCCATGTAGATGAATAATTGGGCTGTTTCCCGTATTAAGAAAATTATTATGACCAGTAAAAATCACATCAAGTAGTAGCTAGCTCTTGCTATAGCTACCTATAGCCCCCACCACAAAGGGAGAGAAAAGAGAGATTTCTCTGTAGCTCTAGCGCTAGTTACACGTTCGTATATGTGTGATGTGTGCTGTTCATGCCATTATATTGATCGTTTTGGATGGAGGAGAGCTCACAGGCCGGCCGACCGGTTGGTGCTGATGATTATTGGTACATGTCTGCTGGCTGATCCATGGCATCATTTTGTACCCAGTTCTGACATAAAAATTAACACCGTTAGTAATTAATTAAAGGCGCAAATATATCGCGTATTTTTTTTAAGATAATGGAAGATGTGCGAATATTTTCATACATATGTAAATCACATTCACGGTGACACAACATGCAGAGTGTGTTTGGTTGCTGGCCACACT